TTTAATGTGTCAAATCTATTCTTCAGATGGTCTCTAAATTTAGGTGGGATATAATCAAGGCCATATTTGGTTCTTATGAACTTGTTTTAATTTCCTTCAACTTCAGCTTGAACCTGCATATGAGCAATTGATGGTCTGTTCCAGAATCAGCTCCTGGCCTTTTTCTGACTGATATTGAGCTTTTCCATCATCTTTTTTCACAGATGTAGTTGATTTGATTCCTGTATATTCCATTTGGCAAGGTCCATGTATATAGTTGCCATGTATTGTCTTATTGTGCTGCATTGTTGTTGAGGGAGGGAATTGTGTGTTTTTCTCCTCATAGTGTCTTCTGCACAAGGAAAGTTGCCTAGCATATTGCAAGTGTTTCACTAACTACTTGTAGAATTTCAAATATGTTCTTACTTCTTTTGTGGTTTTTACTTTTTTAGTTTGAACCTTTTGCTATATAAAATATTTATCATTACTTTTAATGCATCCAGTGTTCTAGAAGGTAATCATAAAGTCTTACCAAAGCATTCCTTCAGTTATATTGTAAACATTATTTGTATTGTCTTGTCCTCCACTCATTTATTCACTAAGCACCCATTATTATGGAACAGACTCAAATTTGACACAGGCCATACAAAGGCAGGGTCTCTTTGTGGCTGACTCAGTGTTACTGGGAGACTATGTTGATGCTAAGCCTACCAAAGAGACACTTAAGCTTGTGGGAACCCTGCATGGATAGGAGTCCAGTTTCCATCCTTTCTTTCTTCTTTTGAATGCTCATTACAAACCAGCCCAGTAACCATACCTCCCCAAGCTCTGCACTCCTTGAAGCAGGGCCTGCATTCCTGGACAGTTCCCTTTACTGTGGCCCCCTGGAGTCTTGCCCTCATTCCACCCATCACCTTCAACTTACCACTTCCTATTGAGCACTCACCTCTATTATTGGTGTCCCTGGCACCTCACACATCAGCATCTAGAGAATTCTAGGTGGGAAGGTGCCAACATCCTTGGCCAGAATCCAGACCCCCTCAGACAGAGGCAGATGTTCAGAGACACCAGCCAGGACTTACAGACACGCAATTCAAACTCAGGCTTTCAAGAAGGGAACTTTATTGGGAGATGACTAGGCAATTTTAGAGAATCACAGAAATTATTGAATTACAAAGCAGGGAAGAGTTGGGACATAATAGACTCAAAGACAACTAAACAATATGTCTCTCCTCCCTGACACTTTCCTTCACTGGCTTCATGCTTTCCCCTCAAATTGAACTCACGGCCTGTTAACAACATCTGGGTCTGGTGTTTTATATCTTTCCCCACTGGAGAGGAACTACCCCCTTCCACAGGTCTAGGGACAGGATCTTACTCATGCACCTAGAGTTAGGAGTCCAGTCCTAGAGCAAACAATAGTGCCCAGAGGAGTAAGTTGCCATGAAGAGCCCTGCCTGGTCAAGTACCTAACCCTGGAACAATCCTTGTGGACAAGGGATGGGATCGTATAAGAACATGACAGCAGATACCACATGATCAGAGCTTGAAGGGAGAATTCATAGAAGGAGAGAAGGACTAACACTCACAGAGGGCTAGGTGCCCAGTACAGAGAGAGAAACATAAATACACGAGAGAGAAAGAAACATTGACCACTTTTTTACATATAGGTATATTTTACATATACCAGAGCAAATTTGAAAGGAAGGGATAATTAAATGCATTGCACAGCTCAAAAACTGGGGCTCAGAGCAGGAAAATGCCTTGCCCACAGCTACATATCAGTGAGTAATGGAGCCAAAACTCTGCCCTAGGTCAGTCTGGCTCCAAAGTCCTCACTCTTTGCTCTGAGACACTCATGAGACAATGAGAGGCAAGGAGACAGAAATCCTTCAAAGGAGTGAGAGGCCCCGATGCTGCAACAGCTGGGCCTAGTGAGACACAAGGGGCAGGACATGGAGGGACAGAGCCAGGAAACACAGCACTCATGCCTGATGCAAGACAGAGAGCTGGAGCCTGTGACATAAAGGCATCATCTCAGAACCCACATGAGCCAAGGGACCAGCTATTCAAGGTAGAGTAGATAAAGCAGGGCTGGGGCATAGGGCTTCTGAGCTTGCAGACTTGGTAAGGGAATAACTGGAGATCCTAGACTCCTCCTCCCCTGCAGTGTCTAGATGGGCAGAGGGACAGCCTAACCTTGACTTTAATCACCCCTTTGTGATCACTTGGGCCCTAATCCCATACCAGGTGGCAGCTCTTCACAGGAAGGGTCCATCACGAACCAGCTCTGTCAAGAGTCAGCCTTATTGAGGTTAGGCCTGGGAAAAGGATAAGGAAGACAAGGCTGATCGTCCTCAGCTCCTAGGTCTGCAGACCCTAAGGTCTGGCATTTGCCTGAGAGTTTGGGCCAATAGCAGAACACCTTTTCTTCCCATCCCCACCCTTGTAGAGCCCCTAACAGTGGCCAAGTCTGGACAAGGAGTCCAGCCTCCATTTAGAGCTGGAAGGCAAGTGACAGATGGAGTTTGAGGTAGGAATGAGGCCTTGAGCTGTGTTCTCTAACAGTGTCTAATTTGGGTCTCAGATTCTGATTTGGAGGCTGAGTAGGAGGATATGACCTCAGTTGGGCAGCATCACAGGATTAGAAGTGGGTGGGTTCCTCTTAACCATCAGTGGAGGATGGATGAACAAGCCCTAAGCAACTCAGCCCAGTAAATTCTCGACCAATATGTTTCTGTTGCCATCTTGCTATCACTGCTAGTACCACTTCATGGGGTGGGGTAGGGGTAGGGCACCATTTACACAAACCACATGTGACTCAGGCTCCCTGAAGTTGACCAACATGGCAGCCCTGTACCCCAGTGCTTCTGCCTAAGGCAGACAAAAAAAAAAATTGCTGTCAAGTCAATTCCTACTCATAACGACCCTATAGGACAGAGTAGAACTACCCCATAGGGTTTCCAAAGTTTATGGAAGCAGACTGCCACATCTTTCTCTCATAGAGTGGCTGGTGGGTTCAAACTTCTGACCTTTTGGTTAGCAACCAAGCACTGAACCATATCACTAATTAATTCCTGCTCGATCTGGATAAAGGACTCAGAATCCTCCACCTGAGGCCAACAAAGCTGGTATCATTTGCCATTATTTGCCCTGAGCTCCTGGACCTTGTCAGAAAGAGTGAGGCTTAGGGAAGTCCACTTCACTCCTTTACTGGGAGAAGAAAATGCTCTGTCACAAGGCAAGGCCCTGAGCCCAGAAAGAATTCCAGTTTGAGATGTACTTGGTTGGCGACAACTCTGTAGTGGCCTTTGATGAGACCCCGGGAAGCACAGGAGTAACACCGCCAGTAGGCCTGAATGATGCGAGCAGCTTTGAGCATATTCCAGTAGCGCCTACGGACACGCCACATGCGGACCCAGGACTGCAGCCTGACTGCTGCCCACTCCTTCTGTGTGAAGATCTTCAGTGCCGCCTGCCGCCTCTTCTCCAGAAGCCTCGTCAGTATCAGCCGCCACCAGCACTGAATGACCCAGGCCCTGAGGGCCGCATGCAGCAGTGTCCGGCGCACCAGGGTACCACGCCACCAGGCCTGGATCTTTATAGCTTCCAGACCACTGTTAGGGGACTTCTTTTGGTTTTCTGGAGGCTTGCAAGAATAAATAAGGGATGTTCAAGGAATGTTCCCCACCCATCTCAGCCCCACAGTGTGCCAGGAAAGGGCCCTGATCGTCTATCAATAACACCCCTTCCTCTGAAGTTCAAGAACACTGGCAAGGCACTGACTGGAGCCAGAAAACCAGACAGTTGTCCTGCGTCTGCTGCTCAGTGGTTAATGGTGACAGGCCTTGACCTGAGCCTCAGTGTTCCCATGTGTAAAATAGGGGTACATTGGTCCTGGCTACTCCGTTCACATGGATTAGATTGGCCAGCCTAGAGCAAAGCCACCATGACCTAGGGGTCAGAGGGTTACCCATGTTGCTTCTGGGCTTGCCCACCTAACCAGGATCCATGTCCCTTCCCTTCAGATCCCACCCATCTGCTGGAGAGGGCATCTTTTGTTCCCAGTGCCCTCTCATCCCTGACTCCAGGTCAAATCCACAACCTACTCTCTCCTACATCAAGGTATTAAGAGTTTCCCCTACCCTAGAAAGTTCATCTCTTCCTCATCTTCACTTCTCCTGACTTTCACGCTTTAAATCTTAATTAACAAGCAAATATATATTCACAAGCTCAAGGAGACATACACACAGATAGTTCTAACTAAGCCCAGTTTCCCATATCTTGGCCATTTCATTCCAGAACAATGCTCCCCAATTCCCCATCCCCACCCTGTGTGGTCTAGGGTTCATACTTTTCTGGATCTCTCTTCTTTAGCATCTACTCTCTGTGTCTTATCTGGACCCAGATCTTTAGCCTGAAAAGAAAATGGGGGAAGAGGAGAGACAAGAATGAATTGACCCCTGTTCTTAGCTCTGGACCATGCAAAAGATACTAGCCACAAGCTCTTGGACACGATCAGTGACATTCCAGCCAGGGCTCCTCCTACCTTCACCTTCTCCTTGGTCAGTGGTGCTGAGGATAGACCAGTCAACTTCTCTGCTTGCTGAGGCACAGCAGCATCAGTGTGTTTCTCATTTTTTTCAGGCTGATTGTCCCCCTGTAATTAGCATGAGAGAGACTGGGGCACAGCTTTCCCTTTCTCTCTATTTAGTATCCCACAGAGCCCAAACTTCCAGGTCTCCCCAGAGTCTTCATATGTAATGGGGTCCCCCCATCCTGAGAGATCTATGGAGATATCCCTAATAAGCCTGTTGTGTCCGTCTCTCTCTTACTCACCATTGGTCACACATGGATTGGGTGTAGATGGTTCAAATCCCCTCACATCTGTGTTCTCCTTGTCATGACATGGGCAGAAAGAATAGAGGAGGGAAGACCTATGATGTCATAAAGGCAGCTATGACTCAGGCACCAAGACAGATCCCAACAATTGAGCTCCCTCCAAGGAAAAGACAAAAATACTTTGTACTTTTCTGCCAGAACTAGGCAAAGCCCTGGCTACAAAGGCAAGACATCAGATACTGACCCATTAGTGCAAAGGTATATCAAGATAGTCACTGGTAATAAAATAAAATTACAAAAGCTTAAAATCCATCAATCAGGGAATAGATTGAATGGTTTACAGTCCATTCATGCCATATTGTTACTGTTGTTATGTGCTGTCGAGTCAGACCCGACTCATAGAGACGCCTCCTTGGGTTTCCGAGGCAGTATCACTATGGAAATAGATTGCCCTCTGGTAGCATAGTGGCTAAGACACTTGCCTGCTAACCAGACGGCTGGCGGTTCAAACCCACCAGCCACTCCTCAGAAGGAAGGTTGGGCAATCCTACTTCCGTAGTGATACTGCCTCGGAAACCCCAGGAGGGGTCGCTATGAGTCAGGGCCGACTTGACGGCACATAACAACAACAACAACAACATCTCCCTTCTGAGGAGTAGCTGGTGGGTTTGAACAGCCAGCCTTCTGGTTAGTAGTCAAGTGCCTTAGGCACTATGCTACCAGAGCTCCTATTCATGCCATAGGACACTGCATTAAAAAAAACAAACAAACTCACTGCTGTCAAGTCAGATCTGACTCATGGTGACCCCTCCTTGGGTTTCCAAGACGGTAGGTACCACTATGGAAGTAGATTGCCCAACCTTCCTTCTGAGGAGTGGCTGGGGAGTTTGAACTGCCAGCCTTCTGGTTAACAGTCAAATGCCTTGGGCACTATGCTACCAGAGCTCCTTAGGTATAGCTGTTAAAAATAATGAGTAATCTATATGTACTGATAAGGACATATATCCAAGATATATTTATTAGTTAAAAACTTGAAGATAGCAGATCTCATCTATATAAAAATATTTATCTAAGTATATAATTATACACAAATTGTAAATGCATATAAAGGAGCAGAAAAAGTCTATACCCAAACTATTACCAATGATTACCTTTGGATTACATCTCAATATAAAGAAAAAAAAATCTTCACAACTGGACCTATAAGCAGCATCATGATAAATGGAGAAAAAACTGAAGTTGTCAAAGACTTCACATTGCTTGGTTCTACAATCAACGCCAATGGAAGCAGCAGTCAGGACATCAGGCAATGTATAGCACTGGGCAAATCAGTTGCAAAAGACCTCAAAAAAGTGCTAAAGAGCAAAGATGTCTCCTTGAGGACTAGGGTACACCTAACACAAGCCATGGTATTTTCAATCATCTCATATGCACGTGAAAGCTGGACAATGAATAAGGAGATCAAAGAAGAGTTGATGCTTTTGAGTTGTGGTATTGGCAAAGAATGCTGAAAGTACGTGGACTGCTAAAAGAACTAACAGATCTGTCCTGGAAGAAGTGCAGCCGGAATGCTCCTTGGAGGCGAGAATGGCCAGACCTCATCACACCTACTTTGGTCATGTTGTCAGAAGGGACCATTCCCTGGAGAAGGATGTCATGCTTGGTAACGTGGAAGGTCAACGAAAGAGGGGAAGGGCCTCAACAAGATGGATTGACACAATAGCAGCGGTGATGGGCTCAAGTATAGCAAGGATCATGGAGCTGGCGCAGGACCAGGCAGTGTTTTGTTCTGCTGTGCATAGGGTCGCTATGAGTTGGAGATGACTCAACAGCACCTAACAACAACCTTTGGAGAAAAGATTTCATTTGACGACCCATGACTGATTCATCCATAGAGTGCCCAGGGAACCCCATGCAATCTCCAGGACAAGTCTGTGTCCACATCTCAGATTAAAATGGCCTTAACTGCTCTCCTGTATTCTTCTGCCCTTGAGGGCATCAAGGCCAGTCAAGAGATGGATGAGAAGTGGCCAATGCAAAGCAAGGCCTTACCATGATCTGCTCCTGGCCTCAGAGACCCACCTGGAGCCACGAAGTCATGGCTGAGTAGAAGAGCCTCTGACCAAAGCCCAGAGATAAACTGGTCCCCCTTCAGAGTCATAGCCCCAGGGGTCACTGAGAAGTGCATTTGGAATATGTAAGGTAAGGAAAAGGAGCTCTGGTGGCACAACATTTAAGTGCTCCGCTTTGAACCACCACCTGCGAAGGTTGGTTCAAACCTACCCAGTAGCTCTGTAGGAGAAAGACCAGGCAATATGCTCCCCTAAATATTATGACCTTTCATAACCCTATGGGCAGTTCTACTCTGTAACATGTGATTGCTGTGAGTCAGAATCAACTCAGTGGCACCCAGCAACACAAACAAGGGTGAGTGTGGGGGAGGCTGGTGAGAGATAGTGGGAAGTGTAAGGAAGAAGAGAAGACAACTTGAGGCTGAGGGATGTCAGTGTATGAAGTTAAGGGTTACACTTAGGATGTGGGAAGTTGCAGAGAAGGTACTATATTAGTCAGTTTGAGAATGATAATGTTATATAGGACCCTGTTATAATACTAATCAGTTTTTTACTCTATATACAATCATAAAAGTCCTGTCTAGAAGAATAATTTCCATTTTCCTCACATCCCAAATGATGAGCATCAGCTTATTGAGAGATAAGAGGAAGACAGAAAGAATTAAATCCAAAATCTAATTATTGATCCGAATGTGGGAGTAACTCACATCCTGTGAAGATCAAGAAGCCCTATGCAGTGAATTGTTTGATGTGGCCCTTCTAGCCATTGTCCTCCATTTTGTGATGTATTGTAAATCCCATTATCCATGCCTATTTAAGGTGGTGTGGTAGTTAAGGTCATGTGTCAACTTGGCGGGGCAGCTGGTAGTAGTCATTCCCTATGACTGGCAATCGGCTTTTCACTCCCTATGACTGGCAATCGGCTTTGTGGTGGGATTTGCTGTGAGCAACTGAGTAGCTGCTGATTGTTAGACATCCACTTGGGTTATTGCTGTTGGGGCAACACAGGTGGAATGTATCTTGAGTCCTGCCTTGCTGGAGGGTATAACTCAAATCACCACCCTTAGCTTCCTTGAGGGTATACCTATGAATCTCCTGGGAAGGTTCACCCTCCTCTTGCTCTGGTTCTGAATTTTGGCTCATTGTCATCTCACCCCTGGATTTGGGACAGCACCTGTCATCTGATCTTCTGATTGAGGCTCGTCAAACCCCAAGAATTAGAAGGATCCTCCAGACTTACTCACAGACCTGGGACTTGCCAGCCTGCCAGCCTCCACCACCACTACATGAGACAATCCCTTGGGTGTCTATGAGTTCTGTGAGGCGTTACAGCAAAATACAGAACCCTAAGATGGGGGAGATTACTGAGAGGAGGAGAAGGAGTTGATGTCTGAAATGATGGAGTGGCACGGTAGTTTGGACATTTGGGACACCTTTAATCTTCACCTCATGGGGACTGGCCTTGCGCTGATCTAAGAGAAATTGTTCAAGCACCCTGGTAACATCATGAAAGAAAACAAAATAGTATAAAAGGCAGGTCAAGGCAAGGAAGGGCTTTCCTCAGGAAGAATCAGAAAGGAGAAAGAGATACCATTTCATGAGAATATCAAAGAGTTCCACTTCCAGTTAGGATGCAGAAGGTCACAAAATGCTATCACTTCCTTGTTAATCATAACAGTAAGAAGTCACCAAAGAACTTTGGCTACAGATGTTGTTGTTGTTGTTATGTGCAGTCGAGTTGGACCGGACTCATAGCAACCCCTCCTTGGATTTCTGAGGCAGTATCACTACAGAAGTACATTGTCCCATCTTCCTTCCAAGGAGTGGTTGGTGGGTTTGAACCGCCAGCCTTCTGGTTAGCAGTCAACTGCCTTAGGCATTATGCTACCAGAGCTCCCTTGGCTACAGATAAGTAAGTCTAAATAAATCAAATTCCAGAATGGGACTGTCCTTTATAATTGCACAGAGATTAGTAGCTGCTTGCCACTTTCATGTCTGTGGATATTTATCAAGTCCCTGGACACAGGATCATGGAAGAGTGTGCCTACCATATGCACAGGTATGTTGCTGGGATGAGGAGAAACCAGTTGAACTTTCAGTGGTTGCATGTGAGCTGCTGGGCTGACTGGAATCTGGAAAGTCCTCACACCCATCATTCTCCCCTATGGAACTTCTGCTGGGTCAGGCGCAGCACAGGAAGCCAGATGCTGAGGTGCACAGCAGAGAGAGACCTTAAGTCACATAGTGCTGAGAGCCCACAGATCTGCTCGAGAAAGGGGTCTGATCCCACCTCCAAACCAAAACCAAACACACTGCCGTCGAGTCAGACCTGACTCATAGCGATCCCTCCTTGGGTTTCCAAGGCAGCATCACTTCGGATGCCCAACCTTCCTTCTGAGGAGTGGCTGGTGGGTTTGAACTGCCAGCCTTTTGGTTAGCAGTCAAATGCCTTAGGCACTACACTACCAGAGCTCCTGATCCCACCTCAAGACACCTGAAACCAAAGTGAATGAGACTAACGAAAGTTATGATCCAGTTCTGATCCGAATGAACTCATTGGTTGAAAAATCTCCTACTTCAGTCTCTACTGCTTTTGACATACAATTTTTAAAAATGAAACATGAAGAGGCAAAAAAAAATGTTAGCTGTAATTAAAAGAAAAAGATCAATAAAAGCAGACCCACAGATGATTCATGGGTTAAAAATAGCAGTCAATGACTTTAAAATAACAAATATAAATATAATAAAGAATTTAAAGGAAAAGTTTATAGATAAAGAATTTAGAGGAAAAGGTGGACAAGATAGGTGGGAAGATGGAGGATTTTAGCAAAAATGAAAACTTTAAAAACCAAAACAATAGAACCAAGTGACAATTCTAGAAATGAAAAATATGATATCCAAAAGTAAGTAATTCACTAGGTAGAATAACAAAATAAATGATTGTCAAACTTAAGTATAGGGCAGAAATTATATAAACATGATAAATACAAACAAAATCATATATATGTACAACATAGTCAAATTGCTAAAAACAAAAGACAAAGACAAAATCTTAAAAAAAAAAAACAGAGAAAATGATCACATTACATTTAAGAACAAAAATATTAAAACAGCTGACTTTTATAAACAAATGGAAGCCATCAGAAAATGAAATAATGCTTGTAAAGTGCTGAAAGGGAAAAAAAATCTGGAATTCCACACCCAGAGAAAACATCTTTCAAAAATAAAGATATAGATAAGATACAAGTATTGATGAGTGGAGACTCATCAGAAGCAAAAGAGAAAGAAGAAGACCAAAGTCTCAAACATGAAACTAGCCTACAGGACAAAAAGTCTACACAATCCACCACCTCATCTACTGTGAGAACAGAAGAACTAGATAGTGCCTGGCTACCATTACCTACCATTCTAATCTGGCCCATAATCGATGGACCCTGATAAAATGGGAGAAAAAATGTGGGACAGAACTTCAAATTCTTAAAAACAAAAACAACACACCTACTGGACTAGTTTAGACTAGAGGACTCTGAGACTATTGTCCTAAGACACTCTTCAAACCTTGAACTGAAACCAACCCATGAGCTCACTGTTATTTAGCAAAATAAAAAATTGGCTCAAAAAATAATGAGCATCACGTGTAATCAACTGTTGGAGACCAAATAGACAACAATCACTTCAAAACAAAGACGGATGTAATGGGGTAGAGAAACTAGATTAATGGAAATGGAACAACCAGAACAGAAATTATGAGAATGTTCACACATTGTGAAGACCATAACCAGTGCCACTGAACAACTTGTGTAGAAGTTGTTTAAACTGCTGTTTAAACCTTCACTGAAAACATAATACAATATTATTAAAAAAATAAAGATGTGGAAATAAAGCCAAAAGATTTTTTTCTCATAATTTCTATTTAACAATGTATTGGAGATTGGTATATTGCCAGGACAACAGGACAAGAAAATAAAATGACTAGAATTTTTGAAAATAAGAAATAAAACTGTTTTTCACAGATAACCTAATTATGTATACAAAAATTTCCAAAGAAATCTATAGGAAAAAAAGTAAAAGCCTAGTGGAGCTATTAGATAATTTAACAAAATTGCAAGATACTAGGGCAAGATTTAAAAATCAACTGTATTTCTATATAGCAATGAACAGTTGGGAAATTAAAATTTTAAAACAATAAGAGTTTTCAATTTTAGAAAAAGTCTTGGAATAACTTTTTTAAATATTCAATACTTCAACACCACAAACTACAAAATGTTGCTGAGAAAAAAAAATTAATGATGATCTAAATAAATAATCAGGAGCTCTGGTGGCGTAGTGCCTAAGGCATTTGACTGCTAACCAGAAGGCTGGTGGTTCAAACCCACCAGCCACTCCTCAGAAGGAAGACTGGGCAATCTACTTCAGTAGAGATACTGCCTTGGAAACCCAAGGAGGGGTCGCTATGAATCCGGGCCAACTCAACGGCAGTGAGTTTGGCTTTTGGTTGTTTTTTTTGTTTTTGTTTTTTTTTAAATAAATAATATGCTAATGTTTTAGAAGACTCATTGTTATTAAGTTATCAATTTTCCCCATCTTTTTTTAAAGGCAATATACTCCTAATCAAAATACGAGTAGGATTTTTTTTTTTTTCTTTTTGGAAAATAGGAAACTAAATCTAAAATTATATGGAAATGCAAAGGACCTAGAACAGCCAAAAAATTCTTGGCATAGAAGAACAAAGTTGAAAGACTTACATTATCTGATTTCAAGACTGCTATATAGTTACAAAGGAGCCCTGTGGCATGGTGGTTAAATGTTTAACTGATAACCAAAAGATTGGCAGTTCGAACCTACCAGCTGCTCTGCAGGAGAAAGATGTGGTAGTCTGCAAGATTTACAGCCTTGGAAACTTATAGTTTTACTCTGTCCTATAGGGTTGCTAAGAGTCAGAATTGACAGAAATGGGTGTATACAATCACAATACTCAAGATGGTGTGATTTTAGTGTAAGAAGAGACAAAAAGATTAAGGAAACAGA